AGCTTTAGGACTTTGCAAGTGTATTAGGGCTTCCTCAAACCATTCCCTGTACCACAGAAGGGCTTCGCCTTCAGAGTGATGACAGCAATGCCCTTCCGTGGTGCAGGGAATGATTTGCATAGCAAAGAGGCCTTTGGATCTGTGTCTGTGGTTAGATAACAGTCATCTTGTCCTCCCCTCAGAGAGAGTGCCCAGGAGGTTTGTCTTCCCTGACATATTTTAAATACCAAAAAAAAAAGAAAGAAAAAGAAAGTTTAGATTGAAGTTTAGGGGAGATTTTCCTTCTGGCCTTAGTCAAATAACCTTGGTTTCGGTTTCTGACATTTCTTGCCCTACAGCTTAAAAAAAAAAAAAAAAAAAGGCAGACTAAAAAGCATTTTGGTCTGTCCCAAAGTCCACTTCTGGCCAATAAACTGTTCATCCAAATGATTCAGCCTTATTCCTAAGCTTTCCCAGTGAATACTACTCTGGTCTTTGTATTCCTGCAATATTATGTCCATACGCATTTTTGTAAAAGTACTCCTAACATAAAAGGTTCACATTTAGACAAGCTCAGCTGATTGATTTAATTTGAAATCTCCTGTCCCCTTTGCTGTTAAACAGTGGATGAACTACAGGGCCACAGTGATTTTTAAATCTTCTTTTACATCTAGTTTGCACAGAATAATGTGATCACAGAGTACAGCAACAGTGAAATAAGTCCCCACCTGTGTGTGTGTGAATCACCTGTACATTAATATATGTTTATTCTGTGCCATGCTCCTCTCAAATAGGACTGGTGAAGGTTAGCACATATTATATAAACATGCAGTGCTTATTCACTGTAATCTATTTGTTACTCACACCTACTTTTAAATTTTAACAGGTATGTAAGAGTGCTGGGCACACGTTTCTTTAGCACTTTGGTGCTAGGCAACAGACTTTCCCTTTCACAGCATATTCACAAAAACATACTGGAGTACCATTCCCATCATCACCTCAGCACCCGGGAGTTTAACACAATTTCTGTGTAGATCTGCCAGGCATTAATCCTGAGTAGTAGACCAAATGGAATAGAAGGGATCCAAAATCTGAAGGCCAGGGATCTTTTTTATTTTGACTAGGACATTAGTTTAGTGGCTGACTTTTAGGTTGGTTAAAACCCTCAGTGGTCTAGCTGTATATAAAGATAATGGTGATTCTGGAAACTAAAACTGAGGTTGTCCTGGGTCTGTTTCACAGACAGCACTAAAAATCTAAGTTACGACATTTCAGTAACAGTAAAGTTGCTTAGTGTTGGCTTTTGGGATGATACATACCTCACTCATTTTATGTATGCCTAGCCTTTTCTCTTTAGTAAAAGTAGCCAAATATTAAATTAGGAGAAAATGCATCAGGAAAGATAAAAACAAACAAACAACAACAACAACAAAAATCACAGGACACAACAGATGGTGGCCCTGTCCCAGGACAGGGACCAAAACAAGAGCAAACTTTTTGTCCCTCTATGTGACACAACTAAAGCAAACTGCAACAGCCAAGCCCAGTTAAAGTCTATAAGGATAGGGATTTTTTTTTATTCTAAGACTATTTGGTTATACATCATCCCATGTAGTCTTCATCATGTTGATGTCAGCATCAACAGTACCACATCAATCATGGCTAAGTGGGATTTCAGCACAGCAGTTTCCATTTACAGCCAAATTAAAGTTCTAATGAACTTTAAATGGCTATTTCTTAGTTTGCATTTTATGCCATGCTATATGTGTTTATTTCACACATGGGAATATAAGCATATGAGGATACTTTTAACACACTTGAGGGCATTCTAGCATCTTTTTGATGGTGATTTTGCTATGGCACCCATGCTTCAAGGATCTAGACCTCTGACCAACCTCCGTCAGCAAGGAGTACAGTCACAGCACTCTTACATCTGCACAAGGTACCAGCACAACAGCCAGGCTTCCTTTCATGCCTTCTTAAAGACTATGGTTTGATACTTTCTAGGGACTTGCAGGGCGCTGGAGAGTGCTGGCCCTCTCCATAACAAGGAATTTACTCCATTTTTCCAAGCTCTTCGAAAACATCTTGCACAGCTGCTAAGCAACCACTTTGGCACCCTCTGCTTATTTCACAGTGTTCAGCAGTCTGGAGGATTGAGCTCTTAAGGCTGCAGCTAGTGTTTCAGATGTGTTCTCTATATTCAGCTTAAAGAACTGCTGAGCATGTGCAAAGTCCCATTTTATACGCTTATAATTCAAAGGCATTAAACATTTTTCCCTACCAGTGGTTCAAGGCAAAGAACTGTAACCCTGGAACAATTATCATGGAGGCATCACTTCTGTATGTACTGTAGGATACAACAGGGATTGCAGATATCCACCCACATAGGAGCAGTTTCCTCACCAGTTCTGTATAAATACCATAAAGTCTGTGAGTAGCACATACATTACAGTGAAGGTAACATTTGAAGAGCCTATGATCATATTACCGGGATTCATATTACCGGGATTCAGATTCCCGTTATTCAGTTCTAAATAGATAGAAAAATCATAGGATCTCATGCTGGTCTCTAAAGAGCATATTTTAATCCAGGGTACACTACCCTGAATTGTCCTAGTTCTCTATCAATAAACAGTCCTCAATTTAATAAAGTAAATGCCTTGGGGAAAAAAGAAAACTCTGGAATTCAGATTAGTAAATCTCCATGTAAAAGGAATGCAGACATCAGCCCCAGCCCCCAGGCTAGAATGATGCAGTTGTACTGTACTTGGCATGTTGCGCTGCTGCCAGGCTTACCTTGCATGACTCATAGTGAATCACAGACAGAATTGCGTATTAGAGAAAGAGGTGCCGCCTACGCTCAGTGTCTTGAGTTATTCTCACCCTGCTGCTTCTCCCTTCAATTGCAAACATGTTTATGCGCACTCAGAACTGCAGATATTCTGTTAATGCGTGGACTTGCATTATTTCCTTATTTCTGTGCATTTCTAATGGGAAGGCTTTTCAGATGATTGATAGGGTGATATAATTAACATCTGGGGACATTAGGTCAAATCTAATCCCCAGCTATCGCAGAGCAATTCCCCATCTGTAGCATGGGGGAAGGGAAAGGTTAGGATAGCACAGTACATCATTAATTCAGAAATGATTATAACATGACAAAATTATAGCATCATTTATCATCAAGAAAGCAATAACAAGCAAGAAATCAGCATCCATGAACGAAAACATAAATCCAGGTACTGAAAGGGTATTATCCTAAAAACAGCACAACTCACTGATTTCAGTGACAGCTGAGAGTCTCTCAGAAATGGGAAATTTATAAAATTGTGAAGGATTTAAACTCTCAAAAATAATCCCCTTCACTAAAGCACCATACTGCTCATTTGTTAAAGCTGCCAGCATTCATTTTTACCTCTCCTACAAAATTTTTGAGCACAAGAGGACAGCAGAGACAAAGCCTCGTGAAAAGCTATGGGAAACTCTGAGGTAGCAGATGTTAGTTTTTTCCTAAAACAATGTCAGGAGATAGAGAGAAGCAAAGAAATGAGTAATTTCTTAAGCCAGATTTTTTTCAAAGTTTTCAAATCATAATCCAGTTTTTCCCAAACAGTCAGCCCTTGATCTATACCTGGAAATGGGTTTGGAATTGTAGTCTTCAGGTAACAATATGAAGGTTTCTATGAAAGATGCATAGTCTCTGTTACTATAGTTGTGCTCATGTCCTTGCAGACTGTCAGCTTATCTAATGAGAACCATTCAGCCATTTCCTCTGCTCAGCAGACACTTCCTTTTCTTCTTAATGAACTCTTGCCAGACCTTAAGGTGCTTTATTGTGCAAGAGAATCAGGATGGGGACACTTTCATGGGCACTATTTTTCATATGTATGTAAAGAACTCAAAAATCTGATCAGGCATAAAGAGGTAAAGGAAATAGATAACTTCATCAAAATAGACTTCAGGTCTAAGAGGATATCAGCAAGTGCAAACTTGTGTCCTGGGTCTTTGCTTTACTTTGGTAAAAGTATGAAAGAGAGTATCTGTGCATGGTCAATTTCAAGAATATAAGAGACTACACAGAAGGTAATAACACCAGAGAAAAAGATAAGTTTGTAAATTAAATACCACAAAATCATTAGACAGGAGAAATGTAGAATCATATATGTAAGTAATCTTGCAAATACCTAGATTGACTGAAAGAAAAAATGTAGTCATCAGTTTATTAAAATATAATGTTTTACATCACCAAAGACCAGTATGAATGACTCTGCATAAGACCAGAAGAAAAAATAAAGAAGAAGAAAAGGAAAAAATGTCATCCTTACTTTTAAATAAATGGGAATTGCTTGGCCTTTGTGCCAAAATTCATCTCCTTTTCCTGCAAGGGACTAGAACCAGATCACGTAGCTCACCTGATGCTGGTAGTGAAGTGTGTGCATAACAGCCTGTTAAATCAGAGAACACAGAGACAGATAAAAGAGGGGCCTCTGCATTGAAAGACAGCATGCCTGGCAGCTCATTGTTCTCTTTAACAATTGTCTCAGTGGCTTAGTTCTCCACATCTTAAAATCATGGCTACAATGAACAATAGTATCTTAAGAAATGTTAAAAGTTTGATTCAGTTGATATGGAAGTACTAAATTGCTTTGATCTACCTGCAGAAAAACATTATAGAAACATTTCAATAAAAGAATCATGATGCAGTCCCTGCATACCTAGACAAGGCAGTTATATCTTAGTTCTTGCAATTGCCTTCATGTGCAGGAATACTACAATCTATGTTTTCCACAACAAATTAAATAGTAGGAATTTGCTCAGGACACAGTAACCTAATGCTATGAGTATACTATTCACAAAAGAGTTTCTAAAAGGGAACACTTATTAGTCTAAATATAAAGGGACATCTTAATTTTAGTGAATATGTGTTTAGCCAGTCCTGCCACTACTATCTAAAGCTGACCATGAAGTTAAGAGTAAACATAACATTATCTTCTGTTGCCTGTTAGCTGTGCACTTACGACTGAGGACTTGTTAAGTATGTGTTTCTAGAGCTCTGGGTAGATCATAGAATCATAGAATGCTTAAGGCTGGAAGGGACCTCTAGAGATCATCTAGTCCAACCCCCCTGCACACACAGGGTCACCTAGAGCACGTGGCACAGGACTGCATCCAAGAGGGTTTTCAAGATCTCCAGAGAAGGAGACTCCACAACCTCTCTGGGCAGCCTGTTCCAGTGCTCTGTCACCCTCACTGTTAAAAAAAATTTCCTTAAGTTCCTGTGGAACTTTTGGTGTTTCAGTTTGTGGCCATTACCTCTGGTTCTGTCGGTGGCCACCAGTGAAAAGAGGCCAGCACCATCCTCCTCACTGCCTCCCTTGAGGTCCTTACAGGCACTGATCAGGTCCTCTCTCAGCCTTTTCTTCTCCAGGCTGAACAGGCCCAGCTCCCTCAGTCTCTCCC